CATTTTCCGATTCCCTCTGGTGGGAGAGGTTAATTCGTGTAGTAAAGGAATTGTTGAGAAGAACACTCGGTAAGGCGGTTCTTACAACCGAGGAGTTGTACACAGTAATGCGCGACTGCGAGTCAATAATTAACTCTAGACCTCTTACCTATCTGTCGGAAAATCCGGATGATTTAATTCCACTTTCCCCAGCAATGTTTCTCATCGAGAATAGGTGTTCCTGATGTTGATTTCTGCGATTCGAAAAATCTTCGAAAAAGGGATAGACATCGCCAAAAACTACTTAATGATTTAAGGCATAGATTTAGGAAAGAATATTCAGGCCTTCTTGTCCAAAATAAGAAGGATCCATCGTCAGAGGTACGGTTGGGTGAAATTGTCCTAATAGGAGATGACATCAAAAAACTGATGCATTGGCCTTTAACTAAGGTCATTCGACTAATTCCTGGGAAAGATGGCAAGGTGACAACTGTAGAACTGAAGACGCAAGCTGGTACGCTGCTTCGTCCCATTCAGCGATTATTTCCATTGGAAGTGCAGTTAACGGACACACCCACTAATCCCATAAACGATAACTCTTTTACTAATCTCATTTTTTCTGTTTCTAGTGATGAACATTTAGATTCTAATGATTCTTCAAATGACTCTAGTAACATCCTGCAAGGTGCTAAAGTGTCAAGATTTGGACGTGTGATCAAGGTACTTCAAAAATTGGATCTCTTCGACCAGGTACTGTATGTCTTTGAGCCATCACGTTACTGCATTACTCATTGCTTTCAGGTGTTGTTAAATCACACGTCAATCATTCTTTGTTGTCAATTTCCTTGTTTCCTTTGTTCCTTCCTTTCCTTTGCTTACTGTCAGTGTTTAGCTTTTGATGCCCGAAGTTGCAATCCCAGTGTCAAAGCGTCGAAGAAAGAAGTTCTCGCTTTACTTAAGTAAGGCTATTGTTAGCGCTGTAGTATTCAACTTGTCATGGGGGAAGGAAAAGCATTCCAGGAGATATTCTTAGATACGGGCGTTTTCGATGTTTGGGAAATTGAGATTTTGTCCTCTCTCGATGCGAAAGAGTTAATATGTAATGATTTGGAATGTAATTTCAACTGTTGCAGTTCATCATCATTAATTTGTGCATCTGCTATCAGGTCAAAATCAACAACTGGTGAATCGATGTCCTCAATCCTAGATAGGCTGTCTGCAACCACATTGCTTTGACCACTTATATGGCATAGGTTAGTAGAGAATTGTGAGATATATTGTAACTGTCTGAGTTGTCTGGGAGATGCTTTGTTATGATTCTGCTTAAAAGCAAACGTTAAGGTCTTATGATCCGTATAAATGGTAAAATCGCGGCCTTCAAGTAAATGTTTAAAGTGTTTAACGGATAAGTATATACCCAAAAGCTAGCGATCGTAAGCGCTATAATTTTTCTAGGCATCATTAAGCTTTTTTGAAAAAAATGCAATAGGTTTCCATCCATTTGGTTCTTTTTGTTGAATAACTGACCGAATAGCCAAATCGGATGCATCTGTGAGAAGTGCCAGAGGGTAATTCGAATTGAGGTAGGCCGTCAACGCTACTTGAGCAATATCTTGTTTACATTTTTCAAAACTTTTTCTGGTTTCATTGGTCCATAGTATTTTACGTCGATCTTTTTTTGTAGATCCTTTCAAAAGTTCATGAAGAGGAGCTTGAGTTTCTGCGGCATTTTTAATGTAATTACGATAGAAATTGATCAGTCCTAAGAAGGAACGAAGTTGGTGTATAGTTTCTGGAAACGGATATTCTGTGATAGCTTTAATTTTTTCAGGTAGAGGTTTTGAACCTTCAGCAGATATTTGATAGCCCAAAAAGTCTATTACAGGTACTCCCAAAACTGATTTGCTAATATTAATTCGGAGACCATATTTATCTAAACGCTGGAAAATTGTTTTAAGATGTAAACGATGTTCTTCCTCGCAAGAACAGGCAATCAACACATCATCCAAATATGGAAACACAAAGTCTAGGCAATAAAAACTTCATTGATGAACCCCTGAAAGGTCGCGGGGGCATTTTTGAGACCAAAACTCATGACATTGAATTGGTAAAGACCAAAAGGTGTGATAATAGCAGTTTTTTCTTTATCTTCATCTGCTACTGGAATGTGAAAATACGCTTTAAAGAGATCAATTTAGAAAAATATAGTTTTATGAGTTAAAATATGTTGAAAATCTTGAATTCGAGGAATGGGATAACGATCAGGTACAGTTAAATCATTCAGTCTTCTGTAATCCCCACATGGGCGGAAAGAACCGTCTTTCTTTGTCACTATGTGTAGGGGACTTGCCCATTCTGAACTGGACGGACAAATGATGTTATTGTCCAGCATATATTTGAATTCTCTTTTAGCTATTTCCAACCGTTTAGAGTCTAATGGTCTTGCTTTACAACTTACAGGTTGTCCTTTAGTTATAATATTATGTTTCACCTTATGCTTTACAGTAGAAATAAGAAAATTTGGTTTTGTTATACTAGGATACATAGCAAATAAATCAGAATATTTACATAAGCTGCCCGTTGTATTTACAGTTTCATGAATAGAGATGGGTGCGATGTCACCATAAACTGCAAGGTTCGTCACACTATCAATTATCCTTTTATGCTTTATATCAATCAATAAATTGAACTTATTTAAAAAATCTGCACCTAATATGGGTTTACTAATTTTTGTTACAATAAATGGGAATTGAAATTCTCGGCGTAAAACAAGATCAAGAATTAAAACTTCTGTACCAAAAGTATCAATTTCTGTATTATTTGCAGCATATAATTTATAGTCACTAATAAGTTTGTGTTTAGAAGTACGAGGAATAAGGCTTACCTCTGCTCCACTGTCAACCAGAAAATGTAAACCTGTTTTTTTGTCCGTGATAAATAAGCGGAATTTATTTTATTTACAGCAGCAATTTTCTTTATTTACAGCAGCAGAGTCTGCCGCTAATTCCACTGCTGATTTTCGTTTTCCGGAGAGCTGTTTTTCCATGCACAGGGGGGGTTTGCATCTATCAGGAAAACACTTTTCTCGAAAACTAAAGTGGAAATAACAGTACTTGCCATTAGGGTTATAACGGCTCCGAGACTTACTTCGATTATTAAAGATGATCGACTGCTATTTCTTGAGCGAGGAACGAGAATTTCTTGTGACAGTTAGTTTTTACGAATTTATTATCCAAAGCTGCAATTTGTTGTCGTAATTCAAGCAACTAGCATCTGCTCCTGGAGAAACAATAATGCTGGCACAAGTATAGTTCTTGTTTTGGTTGCATTTCGATGATACGATCCGGCCATTCAGAGCCTAGTTTTTCGATATCTTCATTCACTAACGATTAAAATATTGCGCACAGTATCTGGCATTTTCTGCAGAAATAGTGTTTTCAAGAACTTTATCCGAAATGCCATTCGGTAGCAAGATTTCGCATTTTTTGTAAAAGTTGACTAGGTTTACTGTCTCCCAAGTCTATGCCTGTTAGCAGTCTCTGTAAACGTTTATTTTCACTTTCTTTAAAAGTGTTCAAGAGACGTTCCTTTAGCAGCAGTATATTTGGTTTTGCTATTGTCACTTATAATATCCCACAAAACTTTCAACAAATTTTGTTTCCAATTGCAAATATTAAGTAGTTGAATTTAGTTTCCTCGGCAGTTATTCCACAAATAGAAAACTCTGCTTCTTGATAAAACCATATCTCTGGCTTTTCAGCCCAAAAGGGAGGTATTTTAACACTTACCCGTGCTATTTCTTCTTTAATCGCCGATTCTTCACTTTCTGACATTTTTATCAATAATTCCGAGGTCACCAAGTATGTGGTTGCTTGCTAAGTTCTTTTTATAATAATTTTAAATAGCAAAAGTCAAAAAGCAAGAATCAATATTTTCCATATATAACATCTTTATTATTCTTTGTAGCCCTCACTAACTCCTTACTGATTTTATGGCATGACAACCTTCTGAAACTAAACTGAAACTAAAGGTGAAGTGAAAGTAGTAGTCATTATCTAGTAGAAGTAGTTGTAGTTATTATGACCAATAATAATTGTTGCCTACAGACTATTTTTTATTATTCTTATTTTTTTCTTTAACTGCGAACTAAGCGGGGAAATTCCCTTTTCAATCAGTTATATGTATGCACTAGTTAGAGTAATGTAACGTTTTCAGCTTGTGTGAGATATCCATACTAAGTCTTTATATTAATAATCCCTGCCGTGATTATTTAATTTGTAACCTGCACGTTGTAGCCCTGAGAGTTGCAACATTTCCGTTAAATCCATATCATTAGAAAATTCATCTTCAGTAAAATTTTCCATTTTTAGCCATTTTACTTTAACTTTATCATCTAACTGAAATAATCTGTCAGCTTTATCGCTAAATATATTAAATACAGATATCAAATCAATCTTACTTACTGCTTCATCTTTTAGAAGAGTGTCCACTTCTTTCAATGAAGTTGTGAAATATCGCCGTAATTGTGTTCTTTCCCGTTTTAAATTTTCCATAGTCCTGTCGCGGACGCCAATATTTTAAAGGATTCGAAAATAACTATGGATTTAATATGAAAAAACACTTTAATTGCAGATATTTCCAAAAATTTTAGAAGCAGTTATTCTTACAGAAACGATAGAACTTATTTATAAAACATAAAAACTTAAAATAGAGTTGAGTTGTAGCTGGTCTTACTCAAACAACTACTTCTTAGGAATATCCATCAAATAAAATTTTATAAAATTCATTTCTCACTTCGTTTCAGATACTCGCGGCCATCACGAATTTGAAACATAAACAGACAACGTTATTTTCTATTGCGCATGCGCTTGGTGTCATAATTTCGCCAAGACTAGATAAATCGCCAAATTTAGTCGCGGGTTGCGTTTCCTAGGGAGGAAGTAAAAATACGCGAAGTCCAAAGGAAAGGAAATCACGTAGCCAATCAATATGACCATTCAGCATTAAGATTTGAGCATTTCCTCTCTTCTGGTCTTGAAACAATTGTACTTAAGGTCAAAGAACGCCTATTTTTTGCTTTGTTTGAGTGAAGTGAGTAGCACTTAACTTACGTTAATGAAAAACTGAATGTTTTTTCATTATTAAAGATGTACTGATCACCTGATCATTATACTACATGTAAATAAGTGCATTTATCTGTGTGTGTTCGTAAAGTGAAATAAATTGTATATTAAACGAAGATGGATTTCTAGTCAAAAATAGTTACTAATTTAGTGCAGAGTTGCATGTTTCGGGAGATGTGTAACTAATCATTTTTAAGAGCCAGTGTTTTTAAGAGCACATGCAGATCCTTACGGAACACAAACCTCATGTGTGTGAAATTTAAGAGTTTATTTAATGGAAAACGTAATTTAAACATGCATATGCTAATTCACATTGGAGAGAAGCCTGATGTGATTTTAGTGCGTAAGAAGACATTTAGTTAAATGATTAATTTAGACTAGCATTTGCTTTTTCACACAGCAGTCAAACCGGCAATTTAAACAAGCACCAATTTAAGCAAGCATATGCTAATTAACAGAGGAGACATGCCTTCATATGTGTGTGAAGTATGTAAGAAGTCATATAGTAAAAGAGTAATTTGAAGGTGCACATGTTTATTCATACAGGAGAGAAGTCTCATGTGTGTGAATTATGTAAGAAGTCATTTATTCAGAAGGGTAGTTTAAAAAGGCATATGCTTATTCACACAGGAGAGAAATCTTATATGTGTGAAGTATGTAAATACTCATTTAGACATAAGTGGTCATTAATTACTCATATACCTATTCACACAGGTGAGAAATCTCATGTGTGTGAAGTATGTAAAAAGTCATTTAGAAGCAAGGGTTCTTTGAAGAGTCATATGCTTATTCACAGAGGAGAGAAACCTTATATGTGTGAAGTATGTATGAAGACATTTACACATAAATATTACTTAAAGAATCATATGCTGATTCACACAGGAGAGAAACCTCATGTGTGTGAAGTTTGTCAGAGGACATTTAGTCTAAGGAGTGCTTTAAATTCACATATGCTTATTCACACAGGAGAGAAACTTCATGTGTGTGAAGTATGTCAGAAGTCATTTAGTCAGAAGGGTAGTTTAGCCACTCATTTGCTTATTCACACAGGAGATAAACCTCATGTGTGTGAAGTATGCAAGATGTCATTTATTCAGAAGAATTATTTAAATAGGCATATGCTTATTCACACAAGAGAGAAATCTCATGTGTGTGAAGTATGCAAGAAGTCATTTAGACACAAGGGTAATTTGAAGAGTCATATGCTTATTCACAGAGGAGAGAAACCTTATATGTGTGAAGTATGTAAGAAGTCATTTAGGCAGAAGGGTAGTTAGACGCTCATATGTTTAATCACACAGGAGGAAAACCTCATATATGTGAAGTATGTAAGAAGTCATTTAGACAGAAGGTTCTTTAAAGAGTCATATGCTTGTTCACACAGGAGAGAAACCACATGTGTGTGAAGTTTGTCAGAAGTCATTTAGTCATAAGTCTTCATTAAGCAGACATATGTTTGTTCACACAGGAGAGAAACCTCATGTGTGTGAAGTATGTAATAACTCATTTAGCCTCAAGGATTCTTTAACTTCTCATATGCTTATTCACACAGGAAAGAAAACTCATGTGTGTGAAGTATGTAAGATGTCATTTAGTGCTTTAAAAAGCCATATGCTTATTCACACAGGAGAAAAACGTCATTTGTGTCAAGTATGTAAAAGGTCATTTAGACATAGGAGTTCTTTAAGGATTCATATGCTCACTCACACAAAAGAAAAACCTTATATGTGTCAAGTATGTAAGCAATTATATAGACACATGCAGGCTTTGAAGAATCATATGCGTATTCACACAGGAGAGGAACCTTATATCTGTGAAATATGTAAGAAGTCATTTAGGCTTAAGGACAGTTTAAACAGTCATATGTTTAGTCACACAGTTGAGAAACCTCATGTGTGTGAAGTATGTAAGAAGTCATTTCGTCGTAAGAGTCATTTAACCAGTCATATGTTTATTCACACAATTGAGAAACCTCATGTGTGTGAAGTATGTAAGAAGTCATTTTGTCAGAAAGGTAAGTTAACCAGTCATATGGTTGTTCACACAGGAGAGAAATCTTATGTTTGTGAAGTATGTAAAAAGGCATTTAGTCGTAAGGGTAGTTTACACACTCATATGCTTATTCACACAGGAAAGAAATCTCATGTGTGTGAAGTATGTAAAAAGTCATTTAGTCAGAAGAGTAATTTATATAGTCATATGCTTATTCACACAGGAGAGAAACCTCATGTGTGTGAAGTATGTAGGAAGTCATTTAGACACAAGATTACTTTAACCAATCATATGCGCATTCACACAGGAGAAAATCCTCCTGTAGAAAACGTCCTTGTGAAGAATGTTAGAGGTAAAGAAGAATAAGGGTAAATTTAACAGGCGAATGCATATTCACACAGCAGAGAAAACTTGTGTATGAGGTATGTGAAAATTCATTTTTAGTAAATGATGAGTAAAATATGCATATCCCACTGAACAGAGAAATCTCTCATGTTATGTATGTAACAATTCATGTGGATAGTAGAATAATTTGAAGACTTATATGTTGGCCTACACAACAAGAGAAACCTGCCTTTTGAGGAGATGTTAAATTAGTACCAGGCTTTAATTATCAGTGCAGTAATGATTTGTCCAGCAGCAAACAGACCTCATTTTTTTGGGTTGCAAGTCAGTTTTAACAGATGTCAGTATTAAGTGGTAGCAAAATTCTTGCAATTTAGAGATTCATTTAGTAGCAGAACTTTAGATATAGAGGCATTATAACGTGTGATATAAAAGGTACTGCTGACCCTGTGTGCTGTTTGTAAATTGTCATTTGATACAAATAAGGAATAAACCATTTATTTCCTTCCAAAAAACAAAGAAACAAAACAAAAACCTTCATTTGTGTAAGATATATCTCAAGTGTTTTTTAAATAATCTTAAGTTAAAGCTAACTTTGCTACTATCCTGTCCTAAAGGGTCTAAAGCTGTTTATACCAAACTTGATTGAGAAGCTCTTATTCAGAATGTGTTTTGCAGTTCTTTCACCTTTTTCAAAATTTGAGTGCTTGATACTGGATTCTAATTTTCACAGTTTTTGTATAATTCGTGTTCAGTGTTACGTCTGTGACCTACCAAAATGCATTTTGTTCATCATATGTTTGTTACTGCTTTGATATACTTCTGATACTGCAATTCTGAAGAATGGCTAAATATTTCATCCACATGTGTTTTATTATGATGAAATACTAAGACCTGCAGTTAAATTACATAATTCCTTTTTTTACATCATTTTGACCTAGGTAGAGGTATTATTAGCAAATATTATTCTCAGTATTATTATCGAGCTTCAATATCAAATGCGTCAAGTGTATAACATTCACAAAGCCAGTATAGTGGTATAACATAGGAAACTGAGTTCTCATAGTCAATCCAGGACATGCATCAAATAGAAACTGCCAAATATATTCAGTCAGTCCTGGATGTACCAAATAAAGCAAGCTGATGAGAGAAGCACCTAAGAAAAAATTTAGGGGAATTCACTACGGAAATATCGTTTTTAAGCAGGTAAGAAACTCAAATTTGGTAGGTATTTGTTTAAAAGCTAGTCTATGTGTTTTATCCAGTGATCAAAGAAATTTAATTTTTAATTTGGAGTTTTCATCCACAGAGAACCCGTTGGCGCTTCGGGAAAGAACCCATTGGCGCCATTGCAATTTTTACTCGCCAAGGGATGAGCCGAGCCGGAAACGCGATTTTTAGTGCATGTAAATTGAAGTTAGCAGACAAAGCAATATATTAAGCATATGGTAGTAAAAATTCACAGATGATAAGCATGTAGATGTAAAACTAACCGGAAACGTGATATACGAAAATAAACCTGTCTTTTTCGTACTATATTTCACAATACAAATAACCTTCAACAGTAGTCAAATTTTCTTCAGTAGCATTGTTAATAAAACTAGAACTTTATACATTTTATTATTTGTCAAGAGCCATTTGAACTGTATTCCTTACGCCAGCAGTGGTTTGCTAATTTTGATGACCATGGGGATGCATCAAACTACTCTGTCATCTTAGATTATCAATAATATTTTTTATTTCAACTTAATCAGCTATTTGTGTCACACCTGCCATCCTCAGAAAGGTTATTGTTAGAAAAAGCATTAACAGTATAGTATCTTGTTAAAATTTTAAGCCATGAAAATTGGGTTCGAGAACCGGCATCTATCAACGAAAACTTCTTTAATTATCCGAAAATATTTCTATCTATTCGTTGTTAAAAAATAACGTGGAAAATCAGAAAACATAATAATAAATAAGAGAAGAATAAATTTCCAAATGTGAACAATGGCAGTGACAATTCAACAAAATGAACGCAAGAGGAATGGTTGCAACCTTCAAACAAGTGAATAGGATGAATCCGAAAGGTTACTAGGTTTGAACTATTATCGCCAAAGTTGGCGATGTTTACATTTACCGGGTTCTCTGCGGAAGTGCTTCCTTAATTTGCAAAAAGACACACTTTTTAAGCCAGAACATCAATGCACAAAAGAAAAACAAAAGTTTCAGTTTCACTTGCAACTTTTACAGCATTAAAACATCATTAAATGTTATCATAAGTATCTAAGTAAGTTTTTTTTAGAATCCACAACAGGAATTTGTATGGAAGGATTTTCATAGAAATTTGCCAGATTAAATTTTACTCATAGACATTTGCCAAGTAATATTTTATTTCATGGAATTTATTGAAGTAACATTGCTGTATTTAACCTGCTTTTTTATTTAATAAACCTTTTCTTTTTAAATTATAACCATAAATGCTTTTTTATAATTTATTTACTGTCTTAAGGGTGAAATACGTAATAAAAAAGATTGCGGATTTTCTTCTGCAAAGTATTTGTTGGTGCTTCCTACATTTAACGGATCCTTTGCGGAAATGCTTCCAAGAATTCTAAAATTCTTATTAAAATATTCTAAATTTGAGATATTTATATTAAAAACTTTAGAATTCTTTTAATATAAATATCTCAAATTTTATATTTAAATGTTTTTACTCCCAATGCTAATAAATACATGTGTTAATGAAAATATGGGGGGAGGAGTTTTGCAGATACTATGATAATTAAATAATTCAAGATTTTTTTAAATATTACACCTCATGCTTAGATATTTTAATATTTAGTCAGTACGTTTTAAAATTTATCCATGTAAGTGTATTGTCGCTCATACATAATACATTTTTCATGATATTCTCTATAACTGAATGTAACATACCTACAGACTAGTTCAGCATTTTGTGCAAATTTATATGCATAAATTAAGATACAACTATTTAGTTATAAATACAGACTCGATTTATCTGAAGTATTTGATTTGTCATATTTCAAAAGTATCATGAAAATATTCCTTACTGATTGCTGTAAATACGGCTAATCTTTGGAATCTGCTTCTTATCTGCATCCCCACTAAAAAGTTATGAGCTCATTGGTGACTTTGAAGAGAATTCGTAAAATCATTGTCAAGTTTGGAGACAAACATTGGTTCGGAAATCATTATATGTATTTAAATGCTGCTTTGACTCTTACTGTTTTATTATATTCTTCTTTTCCGTGTATTATATTCTTCTTTTCCTCAGATACTTCTTGGTGTTTTGTATTGTTATGCTATGTTGCTTGTTATGTACACAGCAATCTGTTTACCAAAAAAAAAATTGAAAAATTAACAAACTTTGTATTCAATTTCTAAAATAGGACAGAACAGCGTCAATGATAATGGCTTTAAGCAAGCCACAACATGCTTTGTGACACCAGAAAACAAAGTCTGATATTTCACCGAAGACCCACAGCTTTTGTCATTGCTCAGCAAAACATTGAAATTCCTATAGGAGGAAGTTTTGTAGTATGAGTGGCAAAATTTTCTAGACAGCCATTTCAGGCAGATGCTACATGCATATCTGGATTGCCACATAAAAAATTTTTGGTGACATGCTGCATTACCTCATCAGCAATTTGTCAAGGCTTTCGTGTGTGTATAATCAGAAATTATTGAAAATATAGTAAAACACAGATATGAATACATTATCTGAAGGAAACCAGCACAATACTTGTTTTTATCTAAGCGAAGTTTTTATATTATGAAGAGCATTTAACAATTTAAGATAAAGTAACAAATAAAGTAATTCATGGTTAACTATGCATTTGATTTTTTTTATTAGTATTTAAGCCATACAGAAACTAATATCAGATTACTACTTATATTAATAAAATGACGGTATATACAGATTAATTTCTTGCTGTCATTTAAAGTAAAAAAAGTATATTTTTATACCTAAGAAGATGGAACTAATTAGAAGGTTTTAGGTTACTCTGATACTGATTTTATAATTTATTATCCCTTAATATGTGCAGATATTGCTATTTATATAAAATAAGCATAATTACTGAAATACAATAAAGTAAAAAATATCATATAAATGAATAAACAAGGCTGAATTTTAAATATATAAATACAAATGTGTGTAATAAAGCATATGTTACCCAGGCCCGCGCCAAAGCCTAATCAGCGCCGTCATGCAAATGTCTAGCGAGCGCCTTTATGCTGTATGCCTTTTGCTTATGGTTAACATTTAAAATAAACTATTATTAACATAATAATATAAAAACCAAAAAATTACATTATTTATCTTTTAATTTGTCTAAATGTGCAAACATTTTGTGCTTTGCTAAAACCCACACTCAAACATATTTATTGAAGAATTATATATACATTTATGTTATAAAAAGCCGCCCAACTGATATAGTGGTTAGCGTTGCTGACTGCGGTGCTAAAGTGCTCGAGTTCGAATCTCGGAGAAGGCATGCATATTTGTAAATGTATAGTATCCTTGCGGCCATGGGGTACTCTAAATATGCGAGGCGAAAGTCTTATCGAAAGATTGGTGGTAGTAAGAAAAGAGGGGTGGGAGACGGTCAGACTCATCCCCCCTGGATGCTGTCATCAAAATTGGGGTGGAAACTGAGCTTTAGTGCACTGTCACCTGTAAGGTGCTGAAAGCTGTTACCAACGACAGCTATATCTTGCTCTCCTTGCCACGAGGAATTTCGTAGACTTTTGTGCTGACTGTAGGTCAGACAAGTGACCATTAGTCAATAACAACCACCTGTTATACAAACATAACACTGCAAGCGAAGCGAAATCGTATACCAAATATATTGCTGAATACTAATTTTATTTTTAAAAAAATTTAGATATCTAATAAGTTTGCACTCAATAAACTGTTGTTTGCAGCTTAAACAATGCTGCAAATGACAAGGTTCAAACTGTGATTACAAAAGGGCACAAAAAATGCTATAGGGTTGATATCTAGGGACATATACAAAATACGCTTTTGCACGCTGCTATATTGTTGACAAGATTAGAGTTTCAACCGGCAATGCTATATTTCCCGCAAATTGTTGCAAAAACTGTAGTTCATGCATAAGATCTATAGATATTTATATCGCTTTGAGTTTTATCAAATAATGCTTTTTACAGTTTTTGACATATAAATTAAGCTGATCTTGTAAATCTATGTGAACGAAAATATGAGACGCCGATGCATATGTAAGAGTACAGGCGAGCCCCACAGGCTCAATAGACAAATTGCTTATCCCTTATCTTGAGTCTACTGTTGCAATGGTAGTAATCTGTGCAACATTAATCTTTTTTGTGATTTTTTTTTTTTTTTTTTTTTTTTTGTGACTGCTCGTTGTTATTGAAATTCTACATAAAAAAGGTAAGGGTAGTTACATATTATGTTACACTTAGGCTCGCTATTTAATTCAGAAAAGCGATGATTTGAGCATAATTACTCGAAAAATATTTTTTTTTACATGAACCAGTTGTTTATTTAACTAAAAAATTATTATCTTTCGAGAAGAAAGGATTGACATGTTTACGGAGTATCACTGAATATAAAATACACCTATTTTAGATTTGAAGAAGTAAAAATATACAAGGTATTCCAAAATCAAAAGTTAGCCTTTTTCGGATTTTTAGCTATATGCAAAACTGTAGGAAAAAGCTTCGTTATTTCATTGCATCTTAAATGCATACTTTAAATTTGATTTATTTACTTTAATAAACAAAAGAGTAGTACCACCTCCTTGAATTATTTGGTATTGATCTAATAGTTCATATATTTTCCAAGCAATGGTTTAAGATATATTCAGCTTTTCAGAAGTAAGGTAAAATATTTCAAACGGTGACTTTCCAAGTGTTTTTAAGAAGTATTTTATGCAGCAGTTCTTATAATACAGTGAAATACGTTTAATGTGAAAATGCGTTGGACGAAATATCGGTTAATACGAAATAATACGTTGGTCCCCACAAACTATAGTAGAAGTTCAGAAATCCTCAAAGCTGAGGACCAGAGGTTCTGCGGGTTTTAGGATTTTGCGCATTTCAGGCCAGAAAAGATAATATTCAGACTAAAAGTGCAAAATAAATAAGGCGTATTAGATACATTTAATTAAATTATATACATTATTTCAATAATTAATTATATGCATTAAATTATTATTACATACATAAACTGATATTATATTGTTCATTTACGTTAGGCTCTTCAATTTTTAAATCAGCCTGAATCTGCTTCCCCTTTTCTCTCAGGAGTAGGCTTGAAATAGGTACCCCATCACTCCGCAGCTCCCAGAAACACTCGTACAAGACAGCATCCAGGTTTGCCGATTTCGCCTCCTGTAAAGATTTCCTGTTTCGGATTCCGGTGTTAGAATCACTGTTGCTGTAAAATTTCAACAACTTTTCTTTATTGTTCCGTATATCATACACAGTCTGTGTGGCAATTTCATACGATTCTGGTATAAATCGAGCAGTACCACCTGCCTTCCCGTGGACCTGGGACGTCGCGGCGCGTAATGAAATGGAAGTTGATCTGTCAGCACTATCCTTATCTTCAGGGCAGATGTTTTTATTTTATTCGGCTTATAATGCCTTACCAAATGTAGTATTTCATCTCGATGTACTCCGTCTTTGATATGGTTTAAATCAAATTCTTCGTCATTATAAATATCACGAATACACATCAAAGAGTTTTCTGGTTGCAATTTTCTAATTTCGACTATGCGTAATGTATGCTTTACACATGCGTGCGTTGAAAGAAATGTTGAATAAAGTAAACAAATAAATATTAAGCTTTTTTTTTGTAAATTTTGATACCTTTTAGATCATAATTGCTCTTTATTTCATAAATTACATTTTCATATGTTTAATTTTATAATTTCTGCATGCCATCTTACCAGATTTAAACTGATGATCGCCGAAGTCCCGATGAGTCCGTATTAAAGACTTTTGACTGTATATGAACATCTTATATAAATTATAATTTACATGGCAATAATATCGGTGATTTATTTATCCTGCCTAACAGTTACATTTTTAAATTGATAGGCATATGTGCTGAATACAAGAAATAACATTTGATGGAATTATATACGTGTTTATGCCTACTATTTCCCAGCCAGTTTACTGAAAGCAACAAATGTAGACAAGTTTTTGACTAGATATTTTGTTACTTTTGTAATGGAAAAAAATTGTGCACCTGAAAAATGTGTTTTAAGTGATATTGTTGTATTGTTATCCGAGTAACAGTATTATAGAGTGTGCAGTCAAAAATCAAAATATTAACTTGCTAATATAGTCAAAAGTCATTAATTCGGACATGCATAATCCGGACCTCAAAGCTTCAAGTTTTCACGAGCGTCTAGACCCCAAACCTCACTTTTGCTCATCGCCCGGTTTCGAAATAAACAGAGGGAGAAAGGGATTTCGTCCGAGTGCTTACAAATGCTCATGTTGGATTGCATCCAAGTGCTCGCAATTGCTCATTTCGAAGACCGTATGTTGCTCGTATGTTGTATCGCTTGAAATACTAACGAATACTTATCGTATGTTGCTATCGCTTGAAATACTAACGAATATGTGTTAGTGGTGCTATATTTACTTAGCTTAATTTTTCGTAAAAATAAAGTGCCTAATTTCATTCAATATACTGTGTACCATTAATTGTGTGTAAAATTTCCATTTGTAAATTGTGCAAAAGTTTGTTTGAATGCAAATATTTCGCATATTTATATTATCCAATATGAGCAGGCGATCCCATGCCAGCAGGTGACTGCATTTTGGCTAATTTATTGTTAATTACATTAATTTAAGTCTCATCTATATAATGGGTAAATAAAGGGCATTATCGGACTTTTGTGTGAGGAAATTAAAGAGTTTTGATTTTCATTAGCAGTTTTGATTTATGAATGTAAAAACCCTTCTCTGTACGAGATTGAAACTTTCAAAGCTATACAAGCATTTAGTTTTATTTAATATTTTTCTTATCTTACGCTTATTAATCTTAATCCATTCAACTTTGTAACAACTTTGTATTCAAGTTCACTTTGTAAATTGGCAAAAATTGTGTGACTAACTTTATGGACTGATAGGTAATGCTCTGTTCTTAAATAAACAGGAAATTGAATGTGAAAAAAGAATAACCTTTATGTCTGTTATTATACATTTTAAGAGCAGGTAGGTACTGTTTCTGCGAAATGACGGTTAAATTGAAGCATGTTATTTAATTTCCTGAAACATATGTGTGGTACATGCAAGTATGGATCAGCTGCTGTTGTCTTTATGCACAAAAAATGATTAAAAAATATTGAAACTGATGTAAATAAGTTTAGATTTTTTTAAAGGAGGCATAATAGGCTATATTTTAAATTATTTTTCCTCTTATCTTTGGTTTGGTTTGGCAAATTTAATATTGACTTTCATTCTGCAAAAATAAAATTCTCATAAAAATTTGCTAGTTCATTTTATAGAATGATTCATATTTTATTAACTATTAAGTGCATACACATATTCTATGAAAAGAAAGATTTTTCGAACATTTTCCTGTTTGGAGAAATTTATCTGATATTTCTTCCCTACGCTCAACATCTTTTAACGTTAAAATATGTAACTGGTTGTATCCCTCCCAAAATCTAAGATTATTTGGTACCATTCCATGTACATAAATCACATGACTGTTCATTACTGGAAGAAAAAAGAAAAAAAATAATAAAATAAAAGTAGTGAAATTTGACTACTTTTATTTTAATTTTTTTGGTCCACTGAAGCATGCATTATACAAATTGTTATGT